GGCTCAGGTCATGATCCCAGGGTTCTGGGATCAAGTCCCACATCAGGCCCCCTGCTCGGTGGGAAGCCTGGTTCTCCCTCTCCCACTCCCCCCACTTGTGTTCCTGCTCTTGCTATCTCTGTCAAATAAATAAAATCTTTAAAAAAAAAAAAAAAAGAATTGCTTACATTAAATAAAAATATATATATATACAACTAAGTAGTATGTTTAATATTTATTAATTACTCCTACTACTATTATCTACTCCAACTAGTAGCTCCTACATAAGCCCATGCCATTTGGTCACACGTGGTCATTGCATTAGAAAGGTCCCACCAGCTCACGCAAAACTGGGGATGGATACTTATATTTAGAACTAATTCTCCCTAGAAAATCCTTTGGTACAGTTTTCATCACTATACTCAGGATTAGTACGTTGTGGTTCCATATTTGTTTTAGTGTCATCAATTATTTTACACCAGGTACTTGAGCAGAAATAGGAAGAAGAGAAGAATATTCTTCAATATCCCTCCAGGAAGTATATCACATCACAGCAGCCAAAAAAGCAAAAAAGTAAGATTGTACTGGCTAACTGCAGGTAACTTTTGTTTTTCTGAAATTTGTATTTCTTTGCTGAAATAATAGCACATATTAAATGACAGACATGTTTGCTCTAAAATTGGTTTCTTTTTCTTCATGATTCATTCCACTTAGCAATTATTTAAGATTCATTCAGTAGGGACCATACTGAATTAAATGTTTACAATGTATTTTTGCTTTTCAAGAAAGGCTAAATTAGTTCATGCCAATAATTTAAAAAATTGAAATCAGGTTCTTTCTAGGAAAAATAAGGATAAAATACATTAAATTCTATAACCCTAACTACTGACCTATGAATCCAAATAACAAACAAAAATGAGTATGTTTTCTATCCATTAGAGTTAGACAATCTCTGTAAATCTATTTCTTTCATTTAATAATTATACTTGCTCCTCCTAAAAGGGGATTTTTATTTCATTTTAGGTTGGGCAAAACCAAAAAAGGTAATATAAAAATCAAGAAAAACTATCTGTATTATATCCACCTGTTATTGCCTCTGTTGCTCTATGGGCTTAACATTCTCCTATAGTATGTTTTTATAAAGTCAACAATTATAATGAGCTGTTTTTCTGTTAACCAGGATAGTCTTTCCAGTTGATTCTCACATAGTAAAACCAATGAATATTTACCTTAGCTTAGAAGAGAGGAAATTTTTGACTGTTTTCTAAAATAGCAATTAATACTTCTATTTGAGGAATATTAAAGTAACATTTTCTTTTCAAAATAATATATTTTATTTAAATTACGCCAATATACAGTTTTTTATTGTTCTTTTTTTATACAGGATGAAAAAGTACCTGATTATATGTGTTCCTTTCAAATAAATAAATTCTATGAAAGGCTTACAGAACGAATGGTATTCATCCAGATACAGAAAAAGCTGACCTATTTGTCACCGCATTCTTTATTATAGACTACAACAAGAAGCCACCCTGGAAAAAAATGTAATTTATACCAGACTAAAAATAAAAGTGTTCTACTAAACATACTCATCAGAGTACAGACAATTTGAAATATGCACTCTTTTTGTATTTTGCATCTATGCTTGAGTAACTGTGACACAAGCTAAAACCTTGTTAAATTCTCTTTAATAGTATAATTATACTATTTCTTTTAAAAGAACTTAAAATCCAAATGATTAACAAGAGAAGAAAAACAAAGATAAACCATTACTATCAGTAACCATTTTGAAAAAGAAACACAATACTCAAAGTTTCTCTCTCTCCTTTGGCCCTCTCTTGGATTCTTCCAGGCTGCACAGCCTGTTGTTATATGCACTTACACTGCCACTAATTGAAGAGAGTTAATTAGATGTTTTATTGTCTAGAACTGTAGGTATAGGCTTCATGCATTTGATATTTCTAAAGAGCTTCCCAAATGCCCTTGGGACTCACACTTTCCCTCTAGGAATGTCTACAGGAGTCCCTATATTGTTCTCCCTAAGATTTAAGCTGCAGGGCCAACAGTTTTATTGATTCTGATGGCTCACTGGTCATGCTTCTATGTCATTCTTCTCTGGGAAAATAACACGGATCCTTCAAAATCCAGTTAAAGTCCTATAATTTCTAGGAAAGTCTGACTCTCTTATCATCACCCCCAGGCCCCTGGAATTTCTCTGAACCCTTCTAGCAATATTTTGTATCAATTAATTTACAACATCTTATGTAATACTGTATTTTATAATTTTGAAGTATATATGTAGTCTCCCCAAGCCTTATATTCTACAGGGTACCTAGTATGTTTGCCCATAAAAGATGCTTAAAAATAGTATTTGATGTACTGACTGAATCCCTGCTTTTGACTGGTGTTTATGTCTCACATTGTTGAATTTGCTGTTCTTTCAAGCCGTGCCTCATAAAACATATGATACCTTGCTCAAAATATGGCAGGATGGCCAAATATTCTATGATGAAACTCAAAGGAATTCAATATAAACCAATCTCCCCAAAACATCATCATCTTTGATTACCCTTCAAAAAACAAAATCAAGTGCTTCATCATACATGAAGTTGAACATCCAAAAGTAGGCTTCTAAAAAAAGCCACATGTGCTTATCACATGCGAGAATTAGACTAAGATGAGAATGCTGGAGAGCACAGGAATATTTGTCAACAAGCATTTTCTCAGTAGCTAAAATGTAGTACAACAATGGAGAGAATACAAAAAGATTCAATACAGCAGTTGCAAATCAATGGATCAAGCACATGCAATGCTATCTTCTTATCTTCCTCTGTGTCTGTCTTGCTCTTCTAATCAAGCTGCTGTTTTCTAGTGAAAGGAATCTTCCAATATACATACAAAATGCTGTGATTATTAAATTTATTTTTAAGGTCTTAAAACAGCAAGAAAATCAATTGCATTTGCAAAGGGAGAATTTAGTCCAAGCAATAAATGACTAATGATAGATTTTGTTTTGTCACATGAAATCCACAAGGGAAAGAGTAAATACTGGACATCACTGTGAGCACTGAAACTAAATTCTGTAGGTGGTTACCTGTTTTGCCTTCAAGAGGTAAAGGCCCACTCAAGCATACCCCACATGGTTCAATTTTATCTCCCCTCATGCTAACTTCTATTATCACCCTGCTCTTGAATCAGCCACATCCAACATATCTCTCTGCTTCTATTCCTGCCCTTCTCCAATCCATTTTTAAAGAAAAAAATCAGAACACACCACAACCTTGATTAAGCTAAGCACCACCTCTACAGTAGCAAAAAGCATGGCTTCTCACCCTATTTATAGTAAGATTCAAATTCCTTATGGCCTATGAGCAATTCCATGATCTGGCCTCTCTCTATCCCTCTGGCATCATTTGAGTCTTATTAACCCCTTTGTTCCATTCCATTGGGCTTCCTTCTGTCCTTGATCATACAGTTTATCCTACCCTGGGCCTTTTCACTTGCTGTTTGGGGTGCCAGGCAAACTCAGCTCAAATCTCATTTCTTTGGAGAAATCTTTCTCAATCTAAAGTCTTCCTATCCCTGAGGCCAGTCACATTTTCACGTCATCCTGCTGTACAGTCTCCACAGCAGAGAGTAATATTTGAAATTAGGTTTGTGTTATTTTTGGTTATCCCCTTTAAAACGGATCTCCTTGGGGTGCCTGGGTGGCTCAGTTGTTAAGCGTCTGCCTTCGGCTCAGGTCATGATCCCAGGGTTCTGGGATCGAGCCCCGCATCGGGCTCCCTGCTCAGCAGGAAGCCTGCTTCTCCCTCTCCCACTCCCACTGCTTGTGTTCCTGCTCTCGCTACCTCTCTCTCTGTCAAATAAATAAATAAAATCTTAAAATAAATAAATAAAATGGATCTCCCTGATGTATTTTCTTTCTAGAACCCAGAACAGCTCCTGGCACAGAGCAAGTGCTCAGTGTATAATGGCTAAGTAAGGAATGAGTACGAGCAGAGGCAACAATTTCTCAGTTCTGAGTCACCTAAGTGCCAAAGAGAAGAACAAAGGGCTGAATTTAAAACAAGGATGGGAGGAGGAAAGTTAATTCTCCTGTGGAGCTAAAGAGGCCTCCAACACTCATCCAAGATTCAGAAGCCATTGTTATTATTTGACCCCTACACATTCAAACAGAAAATGTCAGTGAAAAATCCAAGATGGTGGGACAATTATGTAAATAAATAAAACAGTGAATGTATAAGACATTCTGAGGCAGTTTCAGCTGTTACTCTAATATAAATGAAGAATCCCTGGGAATAATAGACAATTCCTTTTACTTTATCATTTTTATTTTTTTAAGATTTTATTTATTTATTTGACAGAGAGAGACAGTGAGAGAGGGAACACAAGCTGGCAGAGTGGGAGAGGGAGAAGCAGGCTCCCCCTTGAACAGAGAGCCCGATGCGGGGCTCGATCCCAGGACCCTGGGATCATGACCCGAGCCGAAGGCAGACGCTTAACGACTGAGCCACCCAGGCGCCCTGGTCATCTTTTATCTCTGTAATTCTGTAAGGGAGTCAAATTGTATTTTTCGGGCACCTGGGTGGCTCAGTTGGTTAGGCGACTGTCTTCGGCTCAGGTCATGATCCTGGAGTCCCTGGATCGAGTCCCGCATCAGGCTTCCTGCTCAGCAGGGAGTCTGCTTCTCCCTCTGACCCTCCCCTCTCTCATGTGCTCTCTCTCATTCTCTCTCAAATAAATAAATAAAATCTTTAAAAAAAAAATCTGTATTTTTCAAGTTAACAGAAATCCTCCATAGAGCATATTTATACAACTCTGAACATCCTGAAAAATGTGTAGTGTAAGTGAAGCTTTTTCTTTTTTATCCTTTCTGCAAAGGGATTTCATGTTTTTAGTAGTTGGGAAATATAAAACTCTATATTTAATTGATGTAAGAGTTTCATTCCTGTTTACCATAAAAAGAACTCCAGTGACCTTTCCATGTTCTGTCAAAGTGGGAGTGATGGGTAGACAACTTGTCCTGCACTGAGTACTACATATGTGTATTTACAACATAGAGAACTGAGTTGGCTAAGAAACATTCAAACAACCTTAGAAAGTAAAGGCTTTAAACTTTTCATCTAAAACTATTTTTTAAAGGGGAAAAATTGAGCCATTGATATAATTTTAACACAGCAGTATCCAAGAATAAGTACATGTGGATTATATTCTCAATGCAAAAAATATATACATAAACAGTCCACATCACTATTTGGTCCAAATAGTACTTTATTCAAGTGCTAATCAAAATGCTAGGAACAATTACTATATTTTACTTAGAGCATTCCCTCAAAAGAATACTTTATAAGGTAATGGGCTAAAGTATTCACATCATCCCTTCAAGAAGGTAAATAACGTCAATAATTTATTGTTGTTGTTGTTAACAGTCATTACTATGTTATTATTAACAAATATAATAATGGTTGTTTCTTTCCAATCTTCAGAAAACACTTTAGAATGAGCCACACAAGAAAAAATACTGTACATTAAAATCTTTTAGAGCTCTTCATTTGGATGCCACTGTGAGGAAAAGTGAAAGAAGGAATA